TTCAACCTCACCAGCTGCTCCTTGGAAACCCTATACAGGGTCGCTATGGGTTGGAATAAACTCAACAGCACATAACAACAACAACACCTCTATGAATATAGGCCAAGTTCACCAAATTGTAGCAATTTACCCTCATTTACTTTATCAAAAATTTTTTTTTTTATCTTCCTTTAGTTGAGTTCTGATTATCAAGCCATTGAGGTAGGTCAAATAGGCACTATCTGCAAGTTTGGGCATTCTTGCGCGTCTCCTCTCACTTCGTATCAGCTGGATGCTTCACTCTCAGCTCTAGCCCTCTGTTGCTATGTCCTTGTACATGGGCTCAGGTATCTCCAGGTCTCACCACACTTTGGATCAACCAGCCCCTCCTTTTCTCTCTTTCATGTCCAGTTCGACAAGAGTCTAGGGAACGTGGTTTAACTCAGCCTGTTTTTTCATTCCTGCCTTTCCCCTTCTTCCACTCACCAGTAGACCAGTGCGGTCGCCAGCAAACTTGCATGCTTGCTCACGTATTCCCTTTGAGTTTCAATCTTGGAGGGAAGTTTGTCCTGCAGGGACTTGACTGCTTGCCTTGATGGTTTCCCAGTAAACAACTTGCTTATTCTTGTAGTAGCCAGTCATGCTGACATTTTTGTTTTGAGTTTTTCCTGCTGATCTTTCTTTGATGATGTATCTTCTGTCACTTTAGCTGTTCCAGGCTGGTCTGCTTTACCTTTCTAGTGGGAATGTCCCACCTCAGAAGGTTCTGGATGGGGCTCAAGATTCCACCTAAGGTCCTATACACTACAAAGGCTCTACAAGAAGCCTATTTCACCACACAAGTTGTAAAAACCCTTTAGGTATTCCAGTCCTTCTTAGACGCCTTTTGGAATTTATATTTTCTCAGACTTTCCTTATTTTTGATGACCTTGAGATTTTTAAGGAGTACTAGTAAGGAGCTCTGGTAGCGCAGTGGTTACTAGTCAGGCTGCTAATCTCAAGGTCAGCAGTTTGAAACTACCAGCGATTCCACAGGAGAAAGATGAGGCTTTCTGCTCCCGTATATTTATAGCCTCGGAAACCCTATGCAGGGTAGATGTGAGTCAAAACTGACTTCACAGCACATCACCACCAGTCAGGTATAATGTAGAATGTCCTTCTAATAGAGTTTGTCTGATCTTATCTCATGATTAGGCTCAGATTATGAGTTTGGAAGAGGATGATCATCGATGACATTTTGATCACATTGTATCAAGGATGAATAGTATCAACAAGGTTTTTTTATGATTGTTGATAGTGATCCTGATCACTATCACTAGTGACTGAGTGTAGTGTTGGTCAGATTTTTTCACTATAAAGTTACTCCCTCCTCTTCCATCTTTCCATCCTATATTTTTTGGAAATAAGTGACTATGTAATGTAGAGTAAGAATTATTATGTTTCCCCTTTCCTATTTTAAATTTTGCAGAAAAAGCTTGAAGTTCAGAAAAGTTAAGTGATTTGGCTGTGTCATGAAAAATAGATGGAAGAACCGTATTGGATGATATGCTTGCTCTTTGCTGCCTTTTCCAAAACTAGGACACCTCTGCTAGCCCTGACCAAAACTCTCCTTTTCTCAGTCTTCTACCTCTTTGTTTTCTACCTATTTCTTAGTTTTTGTACTTTATATTCTATTAAAATTCAGAAACTTTTCTTTATTCTTTAACCATGGTCTTTCATTTGTCTCAGATTTCCATCTTTATATGCAATTAATTTTTTAGTACAGTTGTTTCAAAATCTGATGAACATCTCATTGGTATTTTAAGATATCAGACAATGGATGTTTTCAGTTTATGTGCATAGCCATATGAATTTTGAATTTGCCCTGTTCCTTTTGTGAACTTAAATATCTCAAGAGCATTATAACTAATTAATACCCAAATCATTTTAGAACATCTCTATCCCTATCTCCATTTTCAACAATGACAATATTCATCAAAATGTTATGGCTTATAATTTTTACTAAACAGAAACAAATACCTCTTGAGTTTTGGAAAATATGGATAATACCAGAATAGGTACACAGCCTCTTTCAGAAATTTTGGGGTTTCTGATAATTGAGAAACAATCCTCTCATGTGTTTACTGATTATATTCAGACTCCAGCTTAGTTTTTTTTTTTTTTTTCCTTGCTATGGGTCGGACCCGACTCGATGGCACTTAACAACAACAACAAAAATGATAAAGCTAAATGGTTTTGGAGGCCAGGGATGCATACATATATTTCATGAGAGAGCCAACTTTTCTAAGTGTTTCTGGAGCTGGCCAAGGATCACAATTTGGGATTCTGAAGAAAACACAGTGACATTGTCAATTCCATTTAATATTTTATGTGCAGAGCAGATGGAAGGGAAGTGTGCATACATTTTTTTCAGTTTGCTTCACTTTAACCTGCTTGATACAAATCAGAAAGAACATTGCATATATATCTGCTTGATTTCTCACAGTGTGTGTACTCTGTGAGCTTGAGGAGTATGTATGTTCATGTGCATGCTTGACAAGCAGAGAATATTAACCTTCACAAATAAGTAACAGTTCATTGAGGTAAATAGACATGAACTTAAATCAGTGGACTTCAAGAAAGCCACTATCTAATCTTGGCTTGCCTTTCACTTTTCTTTGAATTATTTTGACTTGAAAGTCATTAAGTTTCATTTCAAAATTTCAAGATATGAATATAACAATAAAGTTTTAAACCCTTGTCTTCACGCATAAATCGTTTATTTATGTCAACATAAATAAAAAAGAATAAAAGCTATTTTCATTGAATTAAAGAATGAGTAAAGTCGACACAGTTGTCTTGGAAAGGTACAATTTTAATAGATACTGTAGTCACAGTATGCAGTAGAGAAAGTACAAAGTTAAATGATTGAACCCTATTTTGTTCTTAAAACAATAGATGATAAGTTCTGGGTATATTTTTAACATGTCATTAACAAACTATTAGGAAACTCTATTGACATTTAACAATCCTATGGCTCACAATACAAGCATTGTTACAGTAGTTCATACTTAATATTACTTAAAAGGTGATGATATTTCTTAAAAGGTTTGCACTGATAGACAGAACTATTTAATATATCCATGGCTTGCCTGATAATGAGCCAGATGTTTCCAGTGATTCCATCACACATATGTGATTGCTGTGTTTAACTAATATGATTCCTGTCTGTTCTCCCATGGACAAGGGAAATAGAATTCATTAGAAGTGCCCATAACTTTTTAAAATCTAGTAATTAAGATATCAGACTGAGTATACAGTAATTCCATACATTAGTCTTCCTCGTTGCTTGGCTGTTTTGATTTCTTACTATATGAAATAGCTAATTTATTCATGGTGAATTAAAAAAAATGTATTTTCTTTCTCTCTCTCTGTGTAGATGCATATACCTGTATCTATATATCCATATCTATGTATAGCCATCAATCCTATCCATTCATCTAAGGAGCCCTGGTAATATAGTGGGTTATGTGTGGGGTTGCTAACTGCAATGCAAGCAGTTCAAACCTACCAATTGGGAGAAAGATGAGGCTTTCTAGTGCATAAAAATTTACCAGTCTCAGAAACCCTGTACAGGGTTGCTATGAGTGGGAGCTGACTCCAAGCACACAACCACCAACCACCACTATCTATCTGCATAGTTACTTCATGCAGTTTTTATTGTAAAGTAATCATGTTCATTATTAAAAGAAAACCATTTCAAATAGAGCTAAAATGAAATGTAATATCCAGTCACCTAGAGATAACTATGTTCAACATTTTGGTATATATCCTTGTATGTATATATATATATATATACACCTTTCTGTCATCCCTCTATGATTTTTGTTTTATTTTATAAAATAAAAATACCACACTGTACTTTTGAAATAGTTTTCACTTTTATGACATCTTTTTTCATGCCACTCAGTGAAAAATATATATCTCTATGGAATCATGGTGACATTGTGAAATAAGCATGTAACTGTTAACAGCAAGGTCAGTGGTTCAAACTCACCAGTTGCTCCATGGGAGAAAAATGAGGTTTTCTGCTGCCATTAAGAATTAGTCTTAAACACCTTACACAGGGTCACTATGAGTCAGTGTTTATTATTCTTATTTTCTATTTTAATTGTCTTTAAGCAGACGTTTTTTGATGAAATCCTCATTTAATTTTTGAATCATGGGTTCAGAACCAGAAAAACAGTATCTGTTGAGTTGACTCTGAGTTATGGTAACCCCAACTCTTGATGACTCCATGTATTTCAGAGTCAGAGTGTACTCCATATGGTTTTCAATAGCTGAGTTTTCGAAATTAGATCACCAGACTTTTCTTCTGAGGTAGCACTGTTGTGTTGTTAAGGGCTGTTGGCTTGAACCAGAAGGTCAGCAGTTCAAATTTCACCAGTCGCTACTCGGAAACCTTATACTGGGTCACTACAAGTTGGAACCTACCCAACAGCACTTAACAACAACAATAATGACATGTTGCTTTTCTTAGAGTTATGGTGTTTGGTTTGAGTGGAAAAGGCTTGTTCTGGTTAGTGACAAACTGAGGGAAATCTGACAGAGGGTGCAGTCAGTAAGTGGGTGGAGCTGCTGTTGCTTTTCCTACAGTGTCAACCAGGACTCCAATGGGGGAAGCAGTAGCTATAAAATCAATGATGGGGGGTGGGGGGAGGTTGCTGATACTTAAGAGTTCTTTCTTGAGCCATTTCCCTATTCCCCTTTTTGGACTACTGGAAGTTGGTAAATATGGGATTCCAGTAGAGATAATTTTTTATTGCCTTTTTAAAAAACCTTTGTTGGAAGATAGGTTTCTCAGAAGAAAACCACCTCTACTGTTCCCGCATCCTTCAAACTGTTAGAGTAAGTCACAGATGTTATTATATAAGCATAAGGTTAAAAAGTCAATCATTTTGATTTGTTGTTGAAAATGTTAATGTGTATATTATAAAAAGAAATACTACCTTTCTAAACAATTACACCTACTTCTCTTTCAGAAATAGATGAGAAGAGGGTGACCAACACACAGATGGAAGTAAGTTTTCTTATATTTTAGATAAATATGTGTTCAAGGTAAAACATAATTATCTTTATTCTATATGATATATAAAATGATATATACATTATATATATAACTGAGATATAAAGTATATTTACTTTGTTTTTCTTGACTGAATAAATAATGAAATGATGTCATTAAAATCCTGACTTTAAACTACCTTGGTTCTTTTATAATGAAATGCTAACAATGCCTGCCAGAACTTCTAAAAGGGAGGAAAAAATTAGGTATTTTAAGGTGTTACATATCTACTTTCATAAATCTAAAGTGAGGTTTTTTTATAACTTTTGGAATTCTGACAATAAAAATAAAGCATTGCCTTTAGTGGTTAGATATAAACCCAATGCCATTAAATTGATTCTCACTTATTGTGACCCTAATAGGTTTCAGAGATTATAAATCTTTATGGGAACAGTCTTATTTTTCTCCTGAAGAATGGTTGGTGGGTTTGAACCGCTTACCTAGGTTTAGCAGCCCAATGACTACCCCACAACATTACCAGGGTTAATAATACATTAACTTACCATAGTAAGTTAGATTATTAATAATTTCATTCTGTGAATGCATATGACTACTGAAGTTTGGGGCCAGACAAATGCTGAAATCCTAGAGATGTAAGACAGGGATGGGTAAGCATCTCCTACAGGATTTATCAGAAACCCTGATGGCCTAGTGGGTGACATCCTGGGCTGTTCACTGAAGGCTTCATGGTTTGAATCCATTAGTCTCTCTGCAGGAGAAAGATGGGGATTTCTGGGCGTGGGGTTGTGGGTTAATGCGCCAGACTGCAAAGCTGTTTGAACTGCAAGGCTGGTGGTTCAAGCTCACCAGCAGCTCCTCAGAAACCCTATACAGGGTTGCTATGGGTCAGAACCAACTCGACAGCACTTCACAACAACAACAACAAACCCTAGACAGAGTCACTATGAGTTGGAACCAACTCATCAGCATACAACAAAAAGTATTTGTGGTATGTGAAGCCAACAGCAGGCCCTGAGTGACGAGTTGGAGGGAACTGAGGTCTTCTACAATGTGACTAACAATATATAAGAAATTCTTCAAGAAGTGTTTGAAAACTGAAATTCAACAACTCATCTGAAAACTAACCCTTCTCTTCCCTGCATGCACATAGGATTTCAGGTAGAAAATAAGGATCATGGGAGGCTGGGAGAGCTAATAAAATGGGCTATATAAAATATGAGTAAGTAAGACCCAACAACAACAAAAAAAGGAATAAATGTTGACTAGGAAGCTGTGAAAATGCATTAATCGATTCCTTTGAAATATGAGTAGATGGATAGCAATACTTAAATAAGAAAAGAAATACATAAACATCTTAAAAATTGTCCTAAAATTGAAAATTTGAAAATATAAGCCTGATAAAAATATGAAACAGCATTTATTAATGTTCCTTAACAAGATACTTTTCTGTAGAATCAAATTTTTCATTTGATCTTTGTATATGTGTATGAACATAGATATATAGGTCACCCAGATGTAATTGACTAGAGCAGTGTTGCTAGAGTAATATCAGCCATGGATAGTGTAGTGGTTACGAATCGGGCTGCGAACCTTAAGGTCAGTAGTTCAAAACTACCAGCTGCTCTGTGTGGGAGAAAGATGAGGCTTTCTGCTCCTGTAAAGAGTTACAGCCTTGGAAACCCTGCACAGGGTTGCTGTGAGTCAGAACTGACTCCATGGCACATAACCACCACCACACATTTAACATTATTAATGTTTCTAGCCCTGCCTGAACTTTTGCCTAACAGACTGGTTTCAAAACATTGAATGCAAGAAAAAAAGGACTCAGGCTGTTTGCTTTATTGATATGGAATTGGAAGCTAGTTAATTAATTAATTGATTATTATTATTATTATTATTATTTTTTACTTTTAACAGTCATTTTTGCATTATGTAAATATCAATATCTTGATAATGGCTTTGAGGATAGTTAAGCTTCAACATAGGCGTTCTTAATGGTGCAAATTGTTAAGTGCTTGTTGAAAGTTTGTCAGTTAAAACTCTCCCAGACGTATATCAGGAGATGGACTTCGAAATCAGTTTCTGAAACATCCCAGCCTTGAACATCCTATGGAGCACTTCTGCTCTGTGTACCTGTGTGCCATGAGCCAATTGACAGCAACTAACAATGCGCACATACAAGAAGAGATGTCTATTTTCAACTTTGTGAAGCAGTCTCCAGTTTCTTCCAGACTTCATCCCTATACTATTTCTAATGCGCATGAAAAACATAGAAATTGCCCCAACAAGTATCTTGTAGCTAGTTACACTTGAGCTTTTCAAGGCAAAAAGTATTGTCTCAGATGCTAAAACTCATTGATGTAGTAATTCTTACCCTTTACACCTTGAACTATAAACTCATACACTATTAAAAAAGAGTCTTGTGATAATGGGGGTTGGGGTGGGACTGTTCAAACAACTTTTCAAATTCTCCCAGGGGAAAAAAACCAACTCTGAGAAGATAAAAATATAAAAGAAGTTTTGTGCACAATCTGGTTTAGGTTATAGACTACAGACTATATATATATAATAGACTGCTATTAAAATGTTGTTGTTGTTAAGTGCTGTTGAGTTGGTTCTGACCCATAGCGACCCTGTACAGGGTTTCCGAGGCTATAAATCCTTACAGGAGCAGAAAGCCTCATCTTTCTCTCACGGAGTGGCTGGCAGTTTCAAACTGCTGACCGTAAGGTTTGCAGCCTGATTCGTAACCACTACACTACCAGAAATAAGTAGTGTTTATTTGATCTATTATATTATATAAGGAGTCTTGGTAGCATAGTGAGCTATGAGTTGGGCTGCTAACTGCAAAGTCACCAGATCAAATTTACCAGTCACTACAGCGTAGTGGTAAATATATATATACAGTTTCATATCATTGTCTGTAGTTTTGTCCTTGTTACATATTCCCTTAGTTTATCATTTTAAAATGCAAAATACTTACTTCAAAATATTGCTGTTGTTGCTTAGTGTTTTTGAGTCGGTTCCAACTCATAACAACTGTCTATAGGGTTTCCAAGGAAGGGACTGGTGGTTTAAATTGCTGAGGTCATGGTTAACAGTCCAGGGCTGATCCTACAGCATTGCTGTTGTCAGGTGTCATCGAGTCAGAACCGACTCATAGAGACCCCATGCACAGCAGAACGAAACAATGTCCGATCCTGGGCCAACCTCACTACCGCTGCCACACTTGAGTCCAACAATGATGCCACCTGGCCAATCC